ACAATGGCGGCGGCAGCAGAGTTCCTGACCGGACCTGACGAAGGCGGAGCCACGGTGGTGCGAGCGCAGGACGGCGCAGCATGGCAGGAGCCGGAAGGACGCAAGCCGGAAACTGTAGCCGGAGGGCGGTCGCACACGAAGGAAAAACATCGAGCCGCCTGAAGTGGTGCCGGTCAGCCGAGGACGCCAGCATACCCCGCAGCCCGCCGGAAAGAAGAGAGAAAGCGCCGCCAACAAGGGTGTCGGTAGGAAAGCCCCCCCCCTAAAAATCTGTGGCCCTAGGTAGGTTAACTACTGCGACTATACCGGTACTCTGTAAACCGCTCTGAGACCCATTAGGGGTCATAGGCGGAATATAAATGCAATGTAAAAAAAATAAAATTAAAAAAAAATCCCGCAGGGCCCTGTTGGTCAGAAGAGAGTTCCACCAGCTCGGGGCCAGGACCGAAAAGGCCCTGCCCCTAGTCAAGGACAGCCGAACCTCCCTAGGGCCGGGGATCACCCAGGAAGTTGTTATCAGCTGATCTCAGAGTTCTTCTGGGGACATATTGGGGGAGGTGGTCCTGAAGGTCCATGGGTCCCTGATTGCTCAAGAGAACAGATGATGCAGAAGACCGCAGCCTGAGAACCTGGAAAGTGGCTGAGCAGAGAACAGTGACTTTGATGGATAGATGGTCTCATTCAGCATAAGGCAGTTTCACGTGGGTTCATGTGAACGCCACAGTGATGTACTGCAAGGGTCGTGAACGGTGGATGTCAAAGCGTTCCCACAGGCACCGAGCACGAGAGGGGAGGCCGTCGTTTGTTACAACGGCAGTCTTAGGAGATAACAGGGGCCTCGTATTCAGCATCCGTCTTCAGGGAGGTACGAACAGACTGGGGTGCCTGGGGTGAGAATACGCGAGTGTTAAGACGGGCCTCCTCTTTAGCTGCCCAGAGCTAGAAGCCGACACTCAAGCGCATTATAAGCCAACCTTTTTGCGTTTTGTAAAAGAGGACAGTCGCGGCTCTAATAGTCCAGACTAGCCTGAACCCGTCCGAGCTCGGAAGCTAAGCAGGGTCGGTACTGGATGGGAGACCACCAAGGAAGACTCTGCAGAGGAAGGCAATGGCCAACCACCTCCGCTTCTCACTTGCCTTGAAAGCCCCTCACTGGGATCACCATAAGTTGGAAGCTAAGCAGGGTTGGTACTTGGATGGGAGACCACCAAGGAAGACTCTGCAGAGGAAGGCAATGGCCAACCACCTCCGCTTCTCACTTGCCTTGAAAGCCCCTCACTGGGATCACCATAAGTTGGAAGCTAAGCAGGGTTGGTACTTGGATGGGAGACCACCAAGGAAGACTCTGCAGAGGAAGGCAATGGCCAACCACCTCCGCTTCTCACTTGCCTTGAAAGCCCCTCACTGGGATCACCATAAGTTGGAAGCTAAGCAGGGTTGGTACTTGGATGGGAGACCACCAAGGAAGACTCTGCAGAGGAAGGCAATGGCCAACCACCTCCGCTTCTCACTTGCCTTGAAAGCCCCTCACTGGGATCACCATAAGTTGGAAGCTAAGCAGGGTTGGTACTTGGATGGGAGACCACCAAGGAAGACTCTGCAGAGGAAGGCA